TTAAATTTAAAAATTAAAAATACTAAATATTTTTTAAAAACACAATATATTTTTTCAGCCAAAAGACATTGCTCACATTTGGGAACTGGGTGGAGGAACCTCTTTGTTGGACTTAATCAGCATACCGATCACAAGTGACACCTTGCGGTAAGTGAGCCAGCCCCAGGAAGACTTAGAAGCTCACCAGTGTCCAAAAGACGCATGTGAGCAGACTTCTGTGAGTCATAATTTGGGGGGACAGTTTCATATTGTCTGAGTGTTGCAGCCACTACCTTTCCATGAGCTTAAACAATAATGCTTCAGAGAGGTCTTGAAAGAACCAGGGTTCTGTCCAGTGCTAAGTGAGATAGCTGCATTTCTACCAGCAACAAGAAAAAAATGTTAAATAATATTTGGGTGATGAATTCATTTACAAAAGCAAACCTGAAAGCTTAATTCTTTCCACTGTCCATCTTGGTGTGGGATTTTTTTTCTTCAGCTGGCTAGTGTCAGCCTACCTTGGAATTTAATGCAGATTAATGTTACTGAGCTTCATCCAAAGAAAAATGATGGGTAGGAGGAGAGAAAGTCTGTCTGCTGACTTTAAAGAACTAGAACCAAGAGGTAAACCTCAAAACTCTCACTGGTATTTTCCTGACAACTACTCCCACATACTGGCCAAATCTGATGTGGAAACTTGTGACATTTCTCACAGTATTTCTGGGAACTGATCTTAGCCAAGAAAAACAAAAAATTTTAAAGCTGAAGTATTTTACTATTGTCCGAGATTAACACAAACCGTCACTGCTGCCTGGACCAAATAAAAAGGACCTGGAAATTATTGTTATGTTTCAAGCACGAAGACCTTAGAGGATAGAATTGTTTCTTTTTTATAAGACAATTGTTTCTCCAGAGGTTGCTATTTATCCAGTGATTTCTTTCTTTTAGTAAAATGCAGTTTATTCTTTCTTTGTTTTTATTGTTTTATGTGTATGAGTGTTATGCTTGCATGTGTGTAAGTTTACCTGTGTCATGTGCATACCAGAGGAAGACAGAAGAGGGCATCGGATCCCCTGGAGCTGGAGTTACAGATGGTAGTCAGCTGCCATGTGGGTGCTGGGATTCGAACCTGGGTCATCTGTAAGAGCAGCCAGTGCTCTTAACCACTGAGCCATCTCTCCAGCCCCATTTATTCTCTTTTATTGTTATGACTTTGTATATGTGTATATGTTCGTGTATGTGTTCATGTGTATGTGTGTGTTTGTGTGTGTGTGTGTGTGTGTGTGTGTGTATGTGTGTGTGTGCGTGTAGAGGCTAGAGGTCAGCATTGGATGTCTTCTCAATCATTCTCCCAATTTTTTTTTTTTTTTACTTTTTTTTGTCTTTTTGAGACAGGGTCTCCCTGTAACCCCAATGGGCCTGGAATTCACTATGTAGACCAGGCTGGCCTTGAACTCACAGAGATTGGCCTGCATCTGCCTCCCAAGAGCTGGAATTAAAGGCATGCACCACCACACCTGGCCATTTTTCCTTTAAAAAATTTTTTTTATTACTTCATTTTTATTTTATGTGTGTAAGTATCTTGCTTGCATGTATGTGAGTGTATCATGTGCATGTGGTACAACACTCAGAGGCCAGAATAGGGCATCAGATACTCTGGAACTGGAGTTACAGATGGTTGTTAGCCACCATGTGGGTGCTAGGAACCAAACCCAGGTCCTCTGGGAAAGCAACTAGTGCTCTTAACTGCTGAGCCTTCTCTCCAGCCCCACCCCACCCCCACCCTTTTTTTCTTTATTGTGACAGGGTCTTTTAATGAACCTGGAGCTAGATTGGCTGGCCAAGTGAGCTTCAGGGATCTTCCATCTCAGCCTCCCCAGCACTGTGATTGCAGATGCATGCCCGCATGCCCCAGTGCCCAGCTTCCTATGTGGGTGCTGGGAATCTGAGCTCAGGTTCTCATGCTTGCTTGGCAAGCACTTTACCAAGTGAGCCATCTGCCCAGCCACTTTCTTTTACTTTTTTTAAAAGTAACATATGCTTATATAAAAAACTTGTTACAGCTCCTTGCTCGCTCTCCCGCCCTCAGGCCTCTCCTCAGGTTCTCGCTTGCTTGGCAAGCACTTTACCAAGTGAGCCATCTGCCCAGCCACTTTCTTTTACTTTTTTTAAAAGTAACATATGCTTTTATAAAAAACTTGTTACAGCTCCTTGCTCGCTCTCCCGCCCTCAGGCCTCTCGTCTACCGTGCAGCCCTCCGCACCTTGACTCCGCCAGCCGAGCTCACCCTTCCATCTCCCCCGCTGTTCTCTACTCCTAGCTTGGGCCCTGTGCC